ACGACCGAGCACGCCATAACCTAGACCCATTATAAATTTTGTAAATAAAATAATAACAATGATAATATTTCAATAAATATTATTATAAATCAATTCAGCCCAGATATTCAATATTTACTTTGTCGTTATGATGAAATTAACTTTTTTTTTTTTTTTCTCAAGAAGATACTCTTGTGTCTTGTTACGGGAAAATAATTTCATGCTATCACCAATATCCTCTGGATATTCAAATAATTATTATTTAATAAATGTTTCAATAAATTTTAATAAAAGGACTTTTTATCAAAAAAAAAAAAAAAAACAAATTTCTTGCAACAAGAAAATTTTAAAGAAAACAAAAATTATTTTGGAGCATGAAGAAATTTTATTGGCTCAAGAAACTTTGACTTCATTCAAGAAATTTTCAATCTTCCTTAATATTGTCTTGTGGTGATATGAATATTTTCTCAGTGATATCTGTGGTGAAAAAAAATTTCAGATAATAGCTAGAAAAATCCAGATTATACTGGGTGATATCTGGATTTTACTAATTGTAATCTGGACTATACTAGCTACTATCTGAAATTTTTTTTCACTCAGGATAATCTTAGTGTCATCTTGTTCTTTCCATGTAGTCAAGAATTTTTTTTTCAGTGTAATAATTTATTTTTTATTTAGACGGATCTTTGCAATTTTTGTCTCGATCCAAATTTATACAATCCAAAAATAAAATGGGCCATATAATTATCCTAAAAAAATTTTTTTTTTCTCCACTTAATGAAGTCTCACGACCTAAACAGTGGGAAAAAATAAAAAAAAATATTAAGTTAAAATCAGATGCGATTAATTGAAATGTTTTCTGTTCACGGTCTGTTGTTTAGGGTTTTATTGTTCCTCATTTAACATTTTCCATAGTTATTAACGTCTGGCTTAAATTTACAGTGCATTCTCTTGAGCCCATCAGAGTCATGAATCCTTGACGCCCCAGTTGAAGTATAAATTACAGATTTAAACTCCGTGCACCGCAGTAACCAGTAATAGTACCAACCAGTCCCAGTACCCTCCTGCATAATATACAGCAATACATAGTATAGAAGCGTTGCAGCCCAGCCCGTCATAGTCATTACCATAGAGTCACTGACGAGTGACGAAGCCCATTAAAGTGCAGAGTTCATGTAGACGCTACAAAAGCTTCTGAATTTTAAGACCTTACATAGATTCCATTCTTCGTATCCGATCGGAGGTACTATTGTTATTATTGTCCAAGACCTGCCACTTAAACTCTTTTTGCGACACAACTTTTAGCTTTACGACCTCTTTTGCTTCATTCAACCAAACCCAAGCTTTATTGTCTCTTACTGAGAACAAATACTCTCCTCTTCTCACAAAGTTAATCAATTCTTCACTTTACAAGTCTGCCCTTCAAATAATTCAAACAAACTTCGGATTTTAATTACATTAATTAATGCGTTTTTCTTGTAAAAATCCCTCGATGATTTTAATTAATATTTTTATTATTTATTATCTGAAAAAAAAAAAAAAAAAATAAATTTTATCGCTGGGTAGTAAGTACTTATGAATAAATGATTTATGAATAATAAAATAAAAGAAATTGAAATGAAGTACAATCATTATCACGTTTGTACCGAGTCTCGTTTAATATACACATGTACGATTCATTTGACTAAAAGTATCTTATAAATAAATAAGCCCCCAGAGGCTGAAGCTCGCCAGAGGATCGAGCATCTATTGCAAGTAACAATCATACTTTCAGACTCTTTTTACAAAATAATTGATATTTTATTTTACCAAAAAAACAATAAGAAAATCGGAGTCTGAGAAACTCTAGCGAGAGTGAGCCCGATCACGTATGAGAATGAACAAAAATAAATAATATAAAAAATCACGTTTATTGATTGCCATCTTAATATGCCTCACGTCCCTGAGGTTTATGATCACGTTGGGCGACTGGTCTTTCTTCTCCGAGCACGTTTACTCGTCTTCCAATACCAATACTCATCGAAGGACACTTTGATTTTACTGTACGCCATCTGAAAATAAACTACCGCCAATCACTTCGCCATAAACCCTTAAATTTTGTCGTTTAAATTTTTAATCTTTGCTTCTCTTCACTTTACTGAATTCTCGGGATTTATTCTTTTTCTTAAGTTAGTTTTTTTTTTTATCAATAAAGAAGATCAAAATAAAAAAAATTTTCTCTTGAAATAAATAAAAAACTTTAAAAATAAAAATAGCTACTGGATTAAATTTTAAATTGCTTCTTCTATTATATTGATGATAAAAATGAATCATGTGAATATTATACCGATATTATATTAAGCCTGCGTCCTCGCTTGAACTTCATTAAAATCGGTCAACCGAGCCATCTACGACAGACATAAAATAATAATAAATATTAAATATAACTGCGGTAAATTCAATAATCGCGGTATCGTCAATCGAGCGCCATCACACAACAGAACACTATTACATTACTTCAGAAGATTAAGAAAAAATTTGCCCATAAAATGTGAATTATCTGTTACAACCGATTATTACCGGTCTCATTATCGATCACTGAATTTACGGTAACGCTAATATAAATATAAATATGTAATGTACTATAGGACATAATATATAAAAGCCCGTGAAGTTTCATTACGCGAATTCTGACATATATACAAGTGACTCTGCGGCACGAAATCGGCGGCCAATTATTATGAAAGCCATCGGTATCGGTGTACATACGAAATACGGTATATATCTGGACGGGAACGAGGACCGAATGAACGTTGACGTTCAATAAGACGCGACGGGACATTCAGTGTGTCGTGCTTGAGATTTTTATCACGGGCTAAATAAACGACTTTTACGAGTTAAGTGGATGGAATAAGTGGTTGGTCTTTTATTTTTCATTTTTTTATGTTTTTAAGATTTACTTTATCCAAGTTGAGGGACTATACTCTCACTCAGATAACGTACCGTGACTGACCATGTCAATCACTATCATTTAATTATTTATTCATTATAATTATTTATCTTTCGATTGAAATATCAATCATCTGTTATTTTATTGTTTATCAAATGATCAGGCTCTTAATTTTTTTTTTCATTGCTATTATTATCTATATTATTAGGAGAATAAGAAAAATTTTGTTTTATTAGAAAGGTCTTGACTTGAATTTGTGTCTTTTCAAGGTTTCATCTCATTCTCACCAATAGTCTCCATTCGAAAATACTCCATCTCTAGATACATAATTAGGAAATGGCCTTATATTCACAAATACCATATATATAAAATATATAAAAAATGCCATGTGGGTACTCAAATGAAAGGTTTCGATAAGTGTAACATCGAGATGAGCTTATATCTTTAAAAATATCAATAATTAAAAACTGACATTGTTATCTTGTCAACTAATAACATTTTTAAGGATATAAGCTCACCCCGATGCTACGCTCAGCAAGATCTTTCATTTAAGTACCCACATCAATTTTTCATATATTTATATATATTATATATTATATATATGTATATATGA